AGAGTGTAATTCTATATATTGATTAACTAGAGTCTTTTAAAAATCAGAAATTGATGTTTACTTTTATTAAATGATTCACCATATCTACTGAGATGATCATTTATGTTTCTTCCCTTAATTTAACAATGTAATGAATTACATTAATAAATATCCCAGTGTTAAACCATCCTTCCACATCTGGAATAAACCCTATTTGAACATCCAATCCTCTGCTATGTTTCACTTCCTAATGTTTTATTTAAGATTGTTACATCTATTTTCATAACTAAGATTGCCCATAACTTTGCATTATTTTTTCCATTTCTGTTATAATTCATTATCAATTCATAGCCTTTCTCAGGATTATACTAACTTCAAATGAGTTGAAAACTTTCCATCTCCTTCTATCCTCCATCACAATTTATAGAAAGGGGACTCAGCTACTTTTAGGAATTTTGGTAAAACTGGCCTATAGAACCTTCTAGGTGTGATGCCGTTTCTCTGCACAGATTCTTCAGTATTTTGTATGGTTATCAATCTATTAAGATTTTCTACATCCTCTCAAGGAAATACTGGTAATTTCACTTTTGTACATTTTTAAATCTATCAACAGAAAATTGTACCTGACATTTCACTAAAAGTTTTCGAATCTTAAAGTTCTAAAATCACTATTAGTTTCTTTTTCAAGAATATAATAAATTTTCAAACTTTTCTGAAAAATGTAATCAGTCTTCTACCATCTGCTCTGTTCACTCTTCCTTAGCTGTTATCTGATCTGTTTGTAGAGTCTCATGTCTCTGTATGTTTTCATTTTCCTCAACTGTTTGGTGACTTGGGGCTGCCAGGGTATCTTCACATTAGATAATTCCAGCTCACTTTTCTGAGGATGTTTGCCATAACTCGCCTCTAGAGACTATAGGAGGGGCACAGGATGATGGTAGTTTGGTGTGCCAGTAGCTTGTATTTAGGGTATATGTTTTGTCTCTCCAGAAGGTCGGTAGCCACTACAGAACCGCCCTCACTGGGATGTCCATGCCTGTACTAGCTTCTTTAGCTTTGGAGCAGGTGCTACGGATCCCAGTGCTCTGTCGAGCAGCAGAGGGTGAAGGGGCTGGCTGTGCAGTTGCTCTCAGGGCAGTTTCCTACTTTCTTTCATTTTTTCACCTAAAACTTTTTTCCATTTCTGTATCAATTGAGGATGCCAAGGAAACCCTCACTAACTCTGCATCACATTTGTACATATGAGGCTGTGGTCTCATCTAATCAATAATCTACAATTTTATTTTATTTTACTTTTTAAATTTATCTTTATTGTTGAAACTATTACAGATGTCCTCCCTTTCCCCCCACTTACACCCTGTTCTCCATTCCTGACCACCCCCTGCCTTCACCACACTATTGTCTGTGTCCAGTGGTTATGCATATATGCATATACGTTCTTTGGTTTAGATGTCATAAAATCTCTTATCCATAGCATTCTGGATTTTGAAAACTTTGGTCTCTTACGGGATTGTGGGTGGAAGAAGAGTTGTGCATATATGTTTACTTCACTCTTTTGATAAAAGTCACTCTTTCCTCCCGCAAAATCTCTTTCTGCTTTTCTTGGGTGTCTATTCATCCCATTCCCCATTCAATATGACCTACTTAGGTCTTCAAATAACTCTACTCCATTTCTCAGGCCACGGTGATTAATCGGGTGTGCACACATGACACAAGCATGGCCAGTACTGTTAGCATCATGGGGAAGGATGTCTCTTTCATCAGCAGTTGTTAAACTAGAGCTGACTGTGTCATGTCTCCTGCCAGTTGTAGGAAGCCTGTCTGCAGTAGAAGGGAATGAGGCCAAATCAGAAAGAATCAGAGAAGAGAAGTGAACTAGAACGAGAGGCTGAGACACATGTATTCATACTACATCCACTTACATGTCCATACACACTTCATAACATTGTTTGGCTACTTAGATCTGGCTGACCTTAGGCTAGCTTACTCCCTGTTTACCAGTTGTTTTGAGGGGAATTTCTTTCATTCTCACCCCAAAATTATAATATACTGTCTGGCTAACTCATTTACAACCTTTAGGTTTCCTACTACATTTCACTTATTCCTAGAAGCCCCCATGAGCCTCATATCTACAGGTTAAATGGTCCTCTTTGTCTTCTATTTGTTCCCACAACACGATAACATTTTTGGTCCCGTATTGTAATTACTTATTTATTCTTCTCTCTCCTCATTAGAGTGTAAACTCCTTGAGGACAATAATTTTTGCTTATTACTCTTATACCTGAAACTCAGTATAAGGCCCGAACATAGTAGGAACTCAGTAATGTAGGCTGAAAAAATGAATAAGCAATTTTATAGCTGCACCACCTAACTTTAGTTAATGTCTGGCAGTAGGTACTGGGCTACCAACAATGACTGGGTATCTGGTATGCATTTTTGATCACCACTGTTAATATCCAATAGAGTTCCTTGTGTGAAGTTATTAAATTTCTTGTAGTTTTTAGGTAACAAAAGCAAAAGACAGCAGTTTCCAGATTTCGGGGTGGGGGCTTAGGCCAAGGAAAATATATATCCCCTAAAGAGATTCTGGTTTCCTTAACAATTCTTATGCCAGAGAGTCTGTGGGCTAAATGCATTGTCAAAACAACAGACTCGGAGAACTCCTGCCTTTATTGACTAACAGGGAGTCAGTCCTCAGCTCTTTAAATAAAGTGAGTGACACTCATGTACTTCATCCACTCATATGGCTACAACTACAGGCATTTGCTGCTTCCATTTTCTGCTCTATTCCGGTTGTTTACTGTCTTTTTGAACATATATAATCTGTAAACCACTGAATAAATGACAAAACATATTGCTTATAAAATTATGTCTATTAAAAAGATTTCTAGATTATTTAAAAAAACATTCAGGTCAAGAATAATAATTTACTGAAACATGCCTTCTATGATCTAAGAAAAACATAAAATTTCTTTGAAAAAGTGAGTGGGAATAGCCAGAAACAATCATTAAATTTAAAAAAATTAATTTTCTTTAAACTAAAACCAAAGAAAAGTAGGAATATCATTTATTTATATTCTCTATTAATAATTAAAATGAGTATGTATCAAGTATTCTTAGAAGTGATTTATGTGTTTTGTTCTAATCTTCCATCTACAATTAAAAAACTAAATTTCATCAGTTATTTAACTTGAATGCTTGCCTGAGTAAAATTTGGAACATTTATGTGGTTGTTGTGTGGCCCTTGCTTGGTCCCAGAGCAGTGAGGTCAGCATGACTAATCACATTAGTGGGGCAGGCTCCTGCCTCCTCCATGAAAAGTTGCTAATTTATAAAACAGATATTTACACCAAGAGCTATGAGACAATTCTAAAATGCCATAACATATTGTACTATGAGCACTGCTTGGGTTAATCATTTTAAAATTCCACGGGTGATCTAATTCTTGAAGGCCCACTATCTTTTCCTTAAAGATTATTTTTATAGTTCAGGTCAGCTTGGGGAAAATGCAAAAGACAATGGCAAATAAAGGAGCCAATCGCTGTCTACTTTCTCAATTTTATCTTTCTGTGAGCATAAAATGTCACCTAAATATATCTTTACAACAGAGATGGAAGGCATGAGTGCACAATTAACAAAGGGAATAGGGGGTTCTTTATAAAGATTTTTCTTGAGAATTCTGAACATCTGCTTACGCTGCTGTCGAAGCCACTATCATTTCCCCTAAGTTTTGCCGAGTAGATGAGATAGGATTGTATTCCAAACTGATGATTATTGCAACACTGTCACACTACATGATGTAATTCTGAGATGGAAATGAAACTCCGTCAAGTGACATTTAATTTAAGCTACAAGGATATTGCGAAGAAGAAATTTTAAGAATACTCAAAAGCAAAAGGATTCCTTGTTTTCTTCCAGCTCATTTTTAAAAGGTCACCATTAGAATAAGTACCCAAATGGAGGGTGAGCAATGGTGACTGAAATGTTTATGAAGTAAGTGATTATAAACACCAGAACAATGCTCTGGGAGACAATAGTTGGCACATTTCACCTGGCTCTTAATATCAGGAAAATTACAAAGATAATATAAATATCCCCTCATTCACTGTTTATTTTCGAACATGGCCCCTCCTCTCCCTTATACTTCTAGGCAGTGTGGCCTCCTGAAGTAGTAGAAGGCCTAAGAAGCATTTTTTAAATGTCATTTTTAACTTCCTTAAGATTTTCCCTTACACAAAATTCATTTCTAGTCATTATAAATAATATGATTATATGTAAGGCTGTTCAAAAGTATCTCCAGGTAGACCATGGGCCATAGAATTTTATTCTGTGAAATCACTTAAGTTGTGTTAATTGAGGGATGACTATGTCCTTCATTATACTGCATGTTGTGGTGGGAATACAGCACGTGATCCTTTTCTTCAAGGAAATTATAGTCGAGTTGTATTGACCACACGAATCCACAGGAAATAGAAAAGCATATAACATGGTACATATTTATGTGCTAATTGGTGTGGTAAAAGTAGTCAATAATCAGCAGAAAGAGATCAATTGGAATATAATAACAGAATGTGATTAAAGAGTTTGCCTAAACCTTCCTTTGCTACATGATGCAATTAAGAAAGTTCGTTTCATTGAGGAAGTAGAATTTGAATCAGGCCTTAAATGAGTAGACTGAAAATAAATGAGAAATTAGAAGAGATTTAACTGAATTAATTTATCTCACTTTTCCTGATTTTATTTCTAGGAAGACATCCATACCCTATCCAATTGAGACTTGTCAAATAATCCATAAACACATAAAGTAAACGTGTTTAACAATCCTTTTAATGCCAAAACACAGCTTATTTCCTTAATCCAAAGCTTCCTTTCTGTAATCATTCTTTTTGTAAACTACTAGTTGGTTATATTAACACCAAGTAATCTTGACAGTGGTTGCTTTAAGCAGTTAAAGCCCAGATACTCATCTGCACACACTCAGTGATCCAGCTTAATGAGTCCCATCCAGACAAATAACTTACCTCGGTTCCCAGCACAATTTCTTCCCTGGCAGAGTAGAACAGAAACTCATACAGCTTGTAGTGTTGAAATAAGCTGAAATATAAAACAAATGTGTGACTGTGATGAATTTGTTTCAGTAAACAAAGGTAAATATGTAGAGTCTTTATTAAAGGAAAGTTGTTCATATTGACCAAAATAATTTTGAAATAAATTTATTTTATTTATAAATACTAAACAATTGAAAGTTTACTTTTTGAGACATTGGCAATATAACACAGTACCTAAAATAATATCAGTAAATAAACTGTGAGGAGTAGACAGGTTTGGGTTACACCTTGATATTTTCTGGCTTACAACTAGATAATGCATTGCCCTTAACACCAAACTTCACATTATTTTTCATATTTTGCTTCACACTGGAATCAGTTTCCTCTGGCATGAATGGCACTAAATTCTACAATCTACTTCCATATCAATTACTTCTCACATTCTAAAACTGTTTCAAGATTAAATTAATCTCCGATAACCCTTGAAAAATGATACCACGTGAACTGAAATCCATTTTGAAGGTGTCTGATTTTCTAGTAGAATATTTGATCAAACATCAAAGAGAGGAATTAATTTAAGGAAGATAATTTCTTCAATTCCTACCCTAAAGACCGAGTGGATAGTGAGTAAAAACTATAAAGAGCCAAAAGGATAGGAGTTCCTTAAAACATATATTTCTAGTAAGTTTAAAGATCTCAGCAATGTATTATTAAAAGTTAAAATTTTACTGAAGGGCTGACTTCTAATATCCTGTTTGTGATAATATTTGAATTTTTCTAATTCTCTTCCCGCTGGTTGGGAAAATTAATAGACTCATAATACAGCAAAATGCCCAAGAACAAAAAATTGTCTTAGTGGTTTCTCTTTCACTCTGGTGCCTTTTGCTATTTAAGAAAATTGATTTTAATATAACTGAGAAATTAACATTTGGAAAATGTAGCTACAGAGCATGTATAATAATGGCTTCTTCTGGATGCTGTAATGGATCAAAGTTTCAATTCATTTGAAATCAATGAAGAAATCCTCAGGCAGCTGGGTCTCTCTGAGTTATATTTGCAGTTGATCTCACTACTAACACAATCCATTAAAAAGTGACGGGCGTGCAGACTCACTCATGGTATTTTTATTTTGGGAGGGAACCTTATACATTTAAATTAGTCATCAACATTCAGAAAACTAACTTAGCTTTTGACATTACTTTGATTTGTTGGCTAGAAAATACATCAGGATTAGTGAAGTTTGATGATTCAATGATGCAAAATAAATTCAAATTCTCCCTCCCTTACATTGCTTACTTAGAGAAAGCTTTAAGGTTAAAAAGATTACATTGGCAATAACAGATTTTGAGTAGAAAAATTAAAAACTGTAGACTATTTTGTAAGTAGTTTGGCTTCCTCTCAGTAAATTAGTGTGAAATTTCTCTTTCTCCATCTCAAAGTTAATTTATGTCTTCCTTCCTGAAATTTCATAATCTTTCAGTTATTCTCCTCATTGCATATAGTAACTAGATTTTTCCATGCCAAAGGGAAATTCATGACTTGGAGGCAGTGGTCAAAGATAGAAGGTTGGGGCAAGGCCAGGATTAGAACGAGACAGAGGAGGTGAGGGAGGCATCTTACTCAGGGGCTGATCAAGTTGCTTCCATTGCCCCACACTGGTCCCCACCTTGGTTGGAGTTCTCTGACTATACCAAGGAATATGAGCTGGTCTCCCCTGGGAGCAAAGTGATATACCGCCGCCATGAGAGAACACTTCCTCCCTCTTCCTTTAGACTTTGGCTGACTCAAGCCCCTGGACTATTTTGTTAAACATTGTCTTAGACATAAATCAAAGGAAAAATACCCAGAGTGAAAATAGGTCAAGACTCTGGCTCCATGTCAGAAACTGCTATACCTTGCTGTGCAGAAAGGGGCAGTGTTGCTTGTGCTACACTGAGTATATGCCTGCGCCCATCACCTTCTCCTAATTCCCAGGGAATAGGTAGAATACATAACAACAAGTGTACTTGGACCAGATATATATCTAAATCATGTCTTATATTAAAGAGATGCAATAGTATTTATGTTTATATCCATATGTTATACAATATTTAAATGTATATATTGCATAAGAAGATTCATCAGTACTTACAGAAATGTTGGGGAAGAATTTTGGTATTAGTTTTTTCCAATCAAAGACACATGGCAGAATGTATAATTTAGAGCAGCAATTTTCAACCTTTTTCATCTCGTGGCGCACATAAACTAAAATTCTGCGGCACACCAAAAAATAGATTTTGCCAATTTGACACACACACACACACACACACACACAAAGGTATAATTTTGATTCATTTACACTGGATGGCTATTGTTGTGGTGGCTGTTGTCATTTTTTAATTTGATAATATAAGGAAAAAGAGGTCAGTGCCCCTGGCTAAAAAGTTAGGTATTGTATGTTTTAAAAATTCTTGTGGTACACTACTGTGCCTGCCACAGCACAACAGTTAAAAATCACTGATTTAGACTCTATTAACAGTATCAAATGAGATTTCAATTTTATTGCCAATTAAGTTTCATGTGCTATGGGGTCATGTTCTAAAAACTGCTCTCTCTAAATTGACGAGGGCTTTCAATGGTTGAATAAATTTAATATCAGGTTAAATTGAAGCATGCTTATACTTTCAATAATTGAGTTAGCTTCATATTTATAAAATTTCTTTGTAGTCATTAAAATGAAAAGTATTATATGATTTAATTACCACTAAACTTACATTTGCGGATCTATGAGGCATTCTAAACAGGTGTTACAGAAAAGCACATTTCTCTTTATATAATTTTAGGATCAATTCTAGATATCATACTAACAGATATTTTATTTATGTAACAGGTGCATTTAAAATGTATAATTTCTTTGAAATCACAGTATAAAGACTTAACAGCATCAAAAATAGTTCTGATTTACTTTACATAACTAATCAGTCAAATATTACTTTTTTTTTTAAAAGAAGACTAGGGATATTTGGTGTGTGGTTACCCTGGTTAGGAGCTACCGGGGACGGACAATGACATCTCCTCTTCCCTATTTTCTGAAATGAAATGTTAAGAAGTACACTGATGAGAGATAGGAGATGCCAGAGAGAAGAGCTGCCCTCTTTCCAAATCCAGAAGGTGCCTTCATGGCACCCGTGTGGGTTTGGCTTCTATGGTTAATGATGAGTTCCAAGGCCCATTGGAAACCTCCTGGGTTCAGAACTTAGCTTTAAAATGTCTTCTGCAAAAGAGACCTAGCAGGTTTAAATAGAGAGAAGGGAGAGAAGGATGGTATACACATGTGCAGAGGATTCCCCCACCCAGTGAGTCCCAAGCCCTGAGAGGCAGAAAGAGCTTGGGGACCAGATTCTCCTTCAGTTCTGGATTTCCACTCTCCCCCTTCCCCCCATTCAAGGACCTTGCTTTACTCTAACTGATATGAAGGCTACTGTGGCTTTTAGTGGGGGAAACACATTAGAAGCATGTTTTTATGTTAAGAAATCATATTATATCAAATGCTATTATAAAAAAACATATTATATCATGTACCATTATTAATTCATGCCAGAAACCAGTATATAAACCTTATCATATTAAACACATTAATATTTAAAAAGCTTCCAGACTACAACCAGGATCCTTGCCAAGCAAATCATGAGCATGTCTGAGACATCATGCAGCACCCTTTATTTTGGAATTTTAAAATTTAAAGTTGGAAAACACTGCAGTATACAGTCATAGAGGAACAAAGATATTCTGTGGAAGCTTTTAGTAAGACAAAAGAAAGATTTTTACCAACTCTTGTTTAAATATTTGCAAACTCTAAAAATGTCCCCTGGGAGAGATGCATGACTCTAATGCTGACCCTGTGACAGATTAAATAAGATAGATTTCTTAGTTCACCAATGAAGACTCACTGTAATAAAAATACTTTCCCTTCATATACCTTCATTTTCTAAGCAGAAAGAAAAACGTACTGAGTTTAATTGGTCAATACTACAAAATATTTCCGGACACATAATAAATTTGAGGAAGTATATACATAAATCTTTTTAATTTCTAGTACAAAGCACTTAAAATAAATGTTTAAGTGAAAATGAATGTTGTTCTTTAAAACAAAAAATTTTGATGTCAAGTCCAACTACCTAAAATATAGATTCTATTGTAATTAAATCTAAAAAAACTGAAAGAATCACTTTATATATAAAAGGGTATTAGAGATTTAGAGAAAACAAATGCTTAATTTATTATAATTCTAAATAAAATTATACTTATCAAACACAAACCTATTTTTAAGAATACAAGGCTAGCTAACTTGTTCAGTGTCCTGATTTTTATTTATTGAATGAATGATTTGAATATTATCTAATTACTGGTTGGTTTAATTACTATATAACTTCTGTAAATATCAAACTTTGCTAAAAATTGAATTAGTTTCTACTTAGTAGACATTTTCTAGAAGATATGAAACAAAAAATAAATGCGACTAAAAAGAAATCCACACCTGATTTTTAAGTAATCAATAATAGCGTTGGCTTGTTTTATGTCAAAGACATTCCATTTCTCATTTTTCTGTAAATGGGATGGTCCAATTTCAGCCATCACTTCTCCAACCCACTTTAAGCTGTCTTCTAAGGACACATGCAATGCTGAAATAAAATCCAGAGATGCTTTAAGCATTACTTTGATAAATGTTTTAGAACAAAATAATCTAAGATGTCCTTAATGTGAAAAAATGTACTTTCAGTATTGGTGAGAACACATTTTAAAATTACTGTTGTTTCTTTATGATAAATTAATAGTTACAGTTTGTGTACAATAATAGCAGCTGACACACCTAACTGTAAATTTCTATAATGCTCTACACAATTGTCTCACATTTATGTTTCCATTTGAAGACACACAAAAAATCTATATCTAAAGATTACATTAAAATGGAAAAAAAATATCTTTGTATGATCTTAAAATAACATCACAAATGGAAATGACACAAAAGTCGGTTGGATTAGCTGGTGAGGAAGGCCTCCCGGGTAGATCCAGTCAGTCACTGTCGACAGCAGAGCTGAACTCGGAGCTGAAAATGTAAATGAGCAGTCGACCAACACTTGGCTTTAGTTGATTGTTACCATGTGGAAATTTGGGCTTGAAGATTTTCAATGGATGCCAGAAATATGGATTTTTATGTAAAACATTAAGCTTTTTTTTTCTTTTTCAAGCTATAACTTATGTGAGCTGTTCCTTAAATTTTGCATGGTGGTGGGGGAGAGAGTCACATGACAGTGCAAAAGCATGACTCGGACACCACTGTGCCACCTTTACTAAAATCCTTAACAAAATGCTACAAATCAGATCCAGCAATACATCAAAAAAAAATTATTCACCATGACCAAGTGGGATTCATCCCAGGGATGCAAGGCAGGTACAATATTTGCAAATCAATAAATGTGATACACCACATAAAAAAAATGAAAGATAAAAACCACATGATTGTATCAAAAAATGCCGCAAAAATATTTGACAAAATCCAGCACCCATTTCTGATAAAAAACATTCAGCAATTTGGGAATAGAGGGATCATATCTAGACATAATAAAGGCCGTATATGAAAGACCTACAGCCAACATCATACTCAATGGGTAAAAACTAAAAGCATTTCCCTTAAGAACAGGAACAAGACAGGGATGCCCACTTTAGCCACTCTTATTTAACATAGTACTGGAAGTCTTAGCCACAGCAATCAGACAGGAAGAAAAAATAAAAGGGATCCAAATTGGAAAGGAGGAAGTGAAACTGTCATTATTTGCAGATGACATCATATTATATGTAGAAAAACCTAAAGACTCCATCAAAAATCGACTCGACTTAATAAATGAATTTGGCAAAGAAGGAGGATACAAAATTAACATCAAGAAATCAATGACATTCTTATACAGCAATGATGAAGTCACAGAAAGAGAAACTAGAAAAAGCAATCCCATTTACCATCATGGCAAAAAAATTAAGATACCTAGGAATAAACTTAACTAAAGAAGTAAAGGACCTATTTTCAGAAAACTACAGGACATTGAAAAAAGAAATTGAGGAAGATATAAAGAAGTGGAAGCACATATCTTGTTCATGGATTGGAAGAACTGACATCATTAAAATGTCCACATTATCCAAAGCAATCAATGCAATCCCCATCAAAATACCAATAACATATTTCATAGAACTAGAACAAACACTTCAAAAGTTCATATGGAACCAAAAAAGATCTCAAATAGCCACAGTAATCTTGAAAAAGAAGGACAAAGTAGGTGGGATCACAATACCGGATATCAGGTTATACTTTAGCTTTAAAATGTCTTCTGCAAAAGAGACCTAGCAGGTTTAAACAGAGAGAAGGAAGAGAAGGATGGTGTACACATGTGCAAAGCTACTGTAATCAAAACAGATTGGTACTGGCACAAGAACAGACTTTTAGACCAGTGGAACAGAACAGAAAACCTGGAAACTGACTCAAGACATTATGCTCAATTAATATTTGACAAAGGTGGCAAGAGCATACAGTGGAGTAAAGACAGCCTCTTTAATAAATGGTGCTGGGAAAATTGGACAGCAACATGCAAAAAAATGAAACTAGACCATCAACTTACACTATACACAAGAAGAAACTCCAAATGGATAAAAGACTTAAATATGACCCATGAATCCATAAAAACCCTAGAAGAAAATGTAGGCAACAAAATTTCGGACATCATACACAGCAGAATCTTCACTGATTCATCACCTAAGGCAACAGAAACAAAGAAGAAAATGAACACATGGGACTACATCAAACTCAAAAGCTTCTGCACAGCAAAAGATACAATCATCAAAATGGAAAGGTAACCCACTGTAGAGGAGAGCATAATTGCCAATGATATATCAGATAAGGGGTTAATTTCCAAAATATATAGCGCTCATATAACTCAACAAAAGGAAGACAAAGAACCCAATTGAAAAATGGGCAGAGGAGCTAAATAGACACTTCTCCAAACAGGACACACAAATGGCCAAGAGACATATGAAGAAATGCTCAACATCACTAATCATCAGAGAGATGCAAATTAAAACAACAATGAGGTATCACCTCACACCTGTCAGAATGGCCACCATCAACAAATAATCAAACAACAAGTGTTGGCAAGGGTGTGGAGAAAAGGGGACTCTAGTATACTGCTGGTGGGAATGCAGACTGGTGCAGCCACTATGGAAAACACTATGGTGTTACCTCAAAAAATTAAAAATTGAATTGCCATTTGACCCAGTGATCCCACTTCTAGGAATATACGCCAAGAAGCCTGAAACACTAATCAGAAAGAATATATGTATCCCCATGTTCATAGCAGTACTATTTACAATAGCTAAGATCTGGAAACAGCCCAAGTGTCCATCAGCAGATGAGTGGATAAAATAGTTGTGGCACATATACACAATGGAGTACTATGCAGCTGTAAGAAAAAAAGATTTCTTATCCTTTGAGACGACATGGAGTGACCTGGAGAGTATTATCCTAAGTGAAACCAGCCAAGCAAAGAAAGGCAAATATTACATGATCTCACTTATTTGTGGAATATAATGAACATAACTGTCTGAGGAACAAGGCAGACCCAGAGACGTGGAAGTAGGGTACAAACTGACAATCCTCAGAAGAGGTGGGAAGGGAGGGAAGAGATAAACCACAGAACTTATATGCATGTACGCATAACCAATGGACATGGACAACAAAGCTGGGGACGGGGTCGGGGGGATGGGGAGGAGGGTATCAATGGGAAAAAAAGGAGAAACATCTGTAACAAAAATAAATTAAGAAAAGAAAGCTATAGACAACTTTTATAGTGTCAATAATACAAATATATTAACTTCTATCTTCTTTTCATGTTTGGTCATGCTCATTTTTACTTGTGGCAGGTAAATATCATTACAATCTGTATACAGCCGCTGCTCCTTGAGTCCCAAGGATGAATCCAGGTAAGTGGAGTATCCCGAGTATCCTTCGTTTGCTGACAAGTGAGGGTTGGTTTTATGGAAGTAGAACTGAAGAGTCTTGAGGTAGAGACTGAAAAGGTCTAGCGTCAATGAGGTTGCACTGGCTCTTTCCCAGAGGTTAACAGGCTCTAGGGAGAACCGTGTTGCTCAAAGTGAACCCAACTTTCTGAATCCCAACCAGATTTAGATATCGCTACTTTAGGAAACCATCAACAAACTTTCCACTTTCTGCAAATGGCATGAATTTTTCAGGGCGGCAGGAAAGGAGAATGCAGAGGAGTTATGAGAACATAGGCTGATTGTTGGACTCAAGCCATTTCTGGGTCACGGAGATACTTCTCTCTGTGGGATGTAAGTGTTATGCCCCCAAATTACTAATAAAAAACAGTAAAGTAATTAAAAATTTTATAAAGATACTATAAACATCAACTTGTACCTTCTTAAATCTATATTCTTTATTACATATAGAAATTAGAAAAAAGCAAAAACTATATAACAATTGAAATCTGGTTTAATGAATGACAATTGGTCTATTTCTCATAGGCTCCCTCCAGATCATCTTATATGTATGTCAGAGACACATATTATTGCGGGATGACTAGGCTTTTCTATATCATCCTAGGAGGAGCTCAATTTTATTGTATATTTCTTTTTCCACAGCAAACGTCTTTTGGATAAAAGCAATTCAGAAAAGAATGGATTAAAAATGTGAATTTTTGTGCATAACCGATGGACATGGACAACAAAACTGGGGACAGGGCTGGGGGGATGGGGAGGAGGGTGCCAATGGGGTAAAAAAGGAGAAACATCTGTAACAAAAATAAAATTTAAAAATAAATTTTTCATTAATAAAATGGTATTACAAATACAGGAAAAAAATCTTAGATAAGTGATAATTCTAGATGTAATTATACTTATCAAACACAAAATTACATTTATATTTATATGACTATTTCCTTATGTTGAAATATAATTGACTCTTTAAAGCTGTTTTTGGATTTTTAATGTCTTTTTATAGATAACGGCTTTAAAAATTAAGAAAGTTACTTCACCAAACTGAAATATTTGCTCTTTTAAAAATCACATTTAGTAATGTGATTAAAATATGACAGATTAAACCATTTGAATAGTAAAGGTTGTTTGAAATAAAATTTGTCTTTGAAAATTTAGGGTAATGAAAGAACACACTAGACTTGCAATTAGTTGCAAGACTTAAGATGCTAACCTCATAACTGCCACTTACTAGCTAGGTGATCTGAGTTTCATTTTCCTTATCTGTACATGAGAATAATATCAATTTTCAAAATTATAGTGCTGTTGTGAGGGGCAAGTAAGAGATGCATGTGAAACTCTCGGTCAGTTGAAAAGGTACATATACTCATATATTACATGTGTATAGTGCAAATTCAGCACAAAGTCAGACATATTTGACTTAGTAATCAGGAGGATGAGCTCTCACTCACTGGGGTTGACCCTTGTGACCTTAAGGAGTTATTTTACCTCTCTGAATCTCATTTATTTTTCTCATTTTCAAAATGGAGAGAATGATAGAACTATCTCATAAGGTTGTGTATGAATTAAATGAGACAAGGCAAATGACGCTGTGACTGGCATAAGTTAATCATACATCCATTTTAAC